TTGAGAACTGGCGTCCGGCATGGTGTTGCTGGGGGTTAACAGTGAGCGACTGGAGAATGGAGAAAGGACCGGCGGCTGCGGGCTTAAAGCTCCCAGGCCATCTTGCTGGGCTGAGTGGCCGCTTTTTGAGTCATCAGCAGCTGGTTGCTGAGTGTATCGCGACGCACGATGCCGACGATGCGGCTGCCTTCCCGTACCACACCAAAATGGGCGTGTTGACGAAACAGTTCTGCCAGCGCCATCAGTGGGTGTGTTTCGTCACTGAAGTGAGGTAGCGGTTCCCGGACCGCAGCAGGCGACACGCGCGACAGCAGCAGTGTGGCCACTCGAACGGATGAGGTCCACTCATGCGGTCGTCCTTCAGGATGCAGAAATACCCATGAGTTTCCGGACGCGGCTGCCACCGCCAGTACGGCATCGCGATCTGCCGAGTCACGACAGCCGGTGATGGTATCCGGAGATTCTGTCAGGTCAGACAGCGTGCGTCCGGTCGAATTCATCAGATTGTCGGCCATACGTCCCTGAATCTGTGACAGGATTCCCTCCCGCTTGCCGGTCGCGATGAGTCCGAACATGCGCGTGCGGCCAAACATGGTGTCCACGGACGGTCCTTCCTGACCGGTCACTCGGGAGATCGCGGCGGCAATCAGCGTCAGGGGGTAGCTCAGAGGAAGAAACAGATAGTAGAAGAAGCGAAACAGACCAAAGCGAGTACGCAGCAGAGACAGCGGCGAACGGTAGTAGAGGCTTTTGGGAATCAGTTCGCCGAACACAAAAACCACCGGCGCCAGAATCAGTGTGGCGGTGATCTCGGCCGTCCCTGACGGGCTGGAGACACCGGTGGCCTCTGCGACAAACAGTCCAATGGCCAGCGTGGTGAGATAGTTGGCGACGTTGTTGCCAACCAGAGTGGTTGACACAAACTGCTCCGGCTTCTGCAGGTAGTCGATCAGATGCCGGGCGATCGGATCGCCGTGCTGCTTCTGCATGGTCAGCTGCAGCCGACTGACCCGGTAAAAACCGGTCTCAGAACCGCTGAAGAATGCGGATAGCTGCATGCCCGTCAGAAACAGGATGAAGGAGGCGGCCAGGATGAGCGCGGTGAAAATCATTCCACAGCCTCCCGCGGCGGGCCGTAAAGCTCCTGAGGTTCCGCCAGCACGCGCACGAGGCCACGGTCTGTGACGTCGATGGCAGTCAGGTTCCACCCGTGCCAGGCGAACTGATCTCCCAGCACCGGAATTCGTTCCAGTCGATCCTGGAACAGACCCGCCAGCGTATACAGCGACTCATCATGTTCCGTGAGTGTGACTCGCAGGCGCCGTGCGAGATAGCGCAGTGTGACGAGTCCTTCGGCATGGTACCGATTGTTGTCGACCTCCAGCAGTGGCTCCCGGCGCAGAATTCGCTCTGTACGACTCGGCGATTCACTCAGCAACGTGGCAATGATGTCTTCATAGGGCAGAATGCCAACCAGTTCCCCGTGTTCATGAACCACGACCGCGACCGCACGGTAACGTCCTTCCAGCTGAGTCAGCACCTGAGCCAGACTGGCACACCACGGGACATACACGACCGGTTCCGCGAGTTCCGCGAAGGTCTGTTCCGTTTCGGTGTGGATATGATCCAGGACCACGGTCCCGTGAATATGATGTCCGGCGGGGTCCTGAACCAGCAGGTAGTCTTCGTTGCCAATGGAAGGCAGGTGAGTTGAGTGGAGCCGGCCGTGTGGCGGAACAGTCAGGCAGTGCCCGCGCGGACGCATGACTTCCTCAGCATGCAGTTCATTCAGATCCAGCAGGTTGTGCAGCACATGCTGTTCTTCCTGGAGCATGTCGTGGCCGAGCGCTGCGGATGTATCCAGCGCGTGTTCGAGGTCTTCCGGATTCAGCTGTGACTCCAGCCTGATGTGAGGCCAGAACGTGCGTCTCAGAATTCGAGCCATGCTGCCCAGAAACGGAATCAGCGGATCCAGAACGAGCAGCGCGGTGGCCAGAGGCCACGCGCCCAGCTGAGCCAGCGCCGGCCCGTGAACCACGGCCAGACTTTTGGGGACAACTTCGCCGAAGACAATCATTGCCAGCAGGTTGAACAGCCCGGCCATCGCGGCCACCGCCGGATAACCGGCCTGAGTCAGCCGACTGATCAGCACGATTCCCACTGCGAAGTAGGTCAGATTGATGGCCAGATTCCAGAACAGTACTCCTGTGAGCAGTCGATCCGGGTTGTCCATCAGCCCGGCCACGATCTTCTGGCGACCGCTGCCGGTGGAAAAACGGCTGATCTGGTCACGCGACAGGAAGAAGAAGGCCGTTTCGCTGGAGGAAAAGAAGGCAGAACCCAGCACCAGCAGACTCATCGCAAACAGCCACGGAAGCCAGATGGACGCTGATTCAACGAGATAACTCATCTGGATTCAGGCATGCGTTTGAAGGGGCCACCGGAGGATGTCGGTTGAATCCACCGGTCGTCTCAGATATTTCCACCGTCCATAGAATAGCCGATCACCGGCAGAATTACCTGGTGAACCTCCGACCCGCATCAGGAGCCACTCATGAAAACACTGTTTGTTTCCGGAACCGATACTGAAGTCGGCAAGACCTGGGTGTCGTGTCGGATCCTCACAGAGCTGCGTGAACACGGTCATCGGGTGGGTGCGTGGAAACCGGTCTGTAGTGGCGCGGTCGAGCGGGATGGCCAGCTGGTCTGGGAAGATGTGCAGTGTCTGCTGCAGGCGATTGGCGGCGATGAGGCCGATACAGAGCTGCAGAAACGAGTTTGTCCTCAACGATTCACCGCGCCTCTGGCGCCCAACATTGCGGCTCGCCTGGAAGGGGACCGGGTGCTGGATGACGTGCTGAACGCCGGTCTGGTTCACTGGAAGGATCAGGCTGACTATGTTCTGGTGGAAGGTGCCGGCGGATTGCTGAGTCCCACGTCGGATCAGCTGCTGGTGGCTGATCTCGTCCGACAGCTGAACTGCCCGCTGCTGCTGGTGGCTGCCAACCGGCTGGGAGTCATCCACCAGACACTGGCTACCGTTGAAGTGGCCCTGGCTCGTAGACTGCAGGTCGTCGGGCTGGTGCTCAATCAGGTGGATCCTGATCTGGATCCCACGCTGGCTGAGTCGAATGTCAGTGAGCTGCGCCGTCTGCTGCCGAGGCTGACAATCGTTCCCAGCGGATTCAACCAGCCGCTGGATAGTACGGCACAGGATGTTGAGTTCATCGACTGGTTCGGCTAAGGCAGCCAGGCCGGTTCGCTGAAGCTCACGGTCCGTCGATCAGCCGCAGGCGCCAGCCTCGGGTTGTGTTCGGAGACGCGGAGAATTCAGGACCCGCGGCTCGCGCCGTCGGCTGGCGCGGGCACCGACGGACCCGGCCGGTATTCGCCGTGGTCATTTAGCCTGCTGAAAGCGCTTCATCAGGGGCTGAATGACGGCCTGAGGAACAAAGTCGGCCAGTTGGGCTTCGAGATTGGCTGATCCCATCCCGGCGATCTGTTTGATCAGCGAACTGGAGATGTGGTTGAAACCCTCACTGGACATCAGGAACACGGATTCGATGTTGTCATCCAGAACGCGGTTGGCCAGAGACATCGTAAATTCCGCATCAATGTCGGTCAGCGAACGGACACCACGCAGCAGAATCCGGCTGTCACACTGCCGCACAAACTCAACGGCCAGACCTTCAAACGTTGTCACGTGCACATTTTCCAGATGACCGAGTGCCTCCTGGCACATGGCAACACGCTCGTCCGGACCGAACAGGGCGGCCTTGTCCGGATTGATGCCGATACCCACGGTCAGCTGGCCAAAAATGCGGGCTCCGCGTTCGATAATGTCCTGATGGCCCAGTGTGAGCGGATCGAAGCTGCCCACATACACGGCGTGTGAAGATGGCGAAGGGTCGGCCATGACGGTCTCTTATTGGATGGTTCTGCCAGGCGAACGTCGTACTGCCCGATAGCCAGGCGTTTTTCGGGGGCGGGCGGCCATTCTCAACGCGTCGTCGCTTGTGGCAACCAATACGCGCGCTGGTCTGTAAATTTGGCAGCGAGTGATTCATGTGTCAGGAAAAATGAAACCGTGAATGCGTGTCCTAAGATGTTATGGAGGCGTGCTTTATGTCAGGTCGTGGTGGTTCGACCGCAGCAGCCAAAAGATGCTTCGGCATGAGTTATGCATTATCTGTTTCCCGGGTATGTGCGGATTGCGATCAGGACGCAGCCCGTCTCAGCCAGCTGCGTGGCCGAACGCAGATCACTCAACAGGAAACTGACTGAAGAGAGCGCCCATTGACGCACTTCAGGAGTCATTGAGATGCCGGTATTTCGCTGGGGACAAGCATGGGATGCGTTCCAGGATCTGGAGCGCGAAGTGGATCAGCTGCTGCAGGGAGTGAATCTCTCACTGCACGGTGTCCGCTCTGCGCGTCGATTCCCCCTGATGAATCTGGTGGAACGACCGGATCACTATCTGCTCACCGCCGAAGTTCCGGGCGTGGACATCAATGACCTGGAAGTGACGGCTGCCGGCGGGCGTCTGACTATCAAAGGGATCCGGCGGCCTCCGGAAGAAGCACGCGATGATACGTTTCGGCGGCAGGAGCGATTTCAGGGAAGCTGGCAGCGTTCCATTCAGCTGCCGGATCGCGTCGAAGAGGACGGCCTGAAGGCCGAGTATTCAGCCGGCGTCCTGCGAATCACGCTGGCCAAAGCGGCGTCCGGTGTGGCTCGCAATATCCCCGTGACAGAAGGGCCGGAATGAGTTGCGCGTCAGCCAGACGGCGCAGATCAGCAGGGGCGAGAACATGAGTGATACCAACGAAGTCAGCATCAGGCAGCCGGCCGACGAATCGACCGTCACTGAATCAGGTCCCACCGGTGAAGCATTCGGTGGACAGCGCCTTCTGTTCAACCCGCCCATTGATATTTACGAGACACCGGATGGTCTGGTGCTGTACGCGGATCTGCCGGGAGTCACCAGCGAAGGGCTGGACCTGCAGGTTCAGGATAACCGCCTGACGCTGTTCGGCCGGATCCAGCAGCGCGAAAGTGACAGCGGCACGGTCGTGCATGAAGAATACAAAGTGGGCGATTTTCTGCGTTCGTTTATTCTGAGTGACGAAGTCGACCACGATCGCATCTCAGCACGACTGAACAACGGAGTGCTGCGAGTTGAACTGCCGCGCGCCAGTCGTTCGCAGCCTCGCCGCATCGAAGTCACCACCGACTGACGACGGCCCTGCTCCGTCCTGCGATGCGTTTAACGCCCTGCCTCGTTCTGCGGCGCACCTAACGCAGTCCCAGCTGTCTCATTTTCTGCTGCAGGGTCTGGCGGTGCACACCCAGTCGACGTGCGGCCGCGCTGACATTATTGTCCTCCAGCTCCAGCGCACGACTGATCATCGCTTTCTCAAAATCCTCCACCAGCTGACTGCGTGCTTCGGTAAGCGGCAGGTCGGCGTAACGTTCAAACGCCGCCACTTCTTCCGGCGGCGCCGTCATCGTCAGCCCAAGGTCAGTCGGACTGATGGTCGATCCTTCAGCCATGGCGGCGGCTGAATGAATCAGCTGCTGCAGCTCCCGCACATTGCCGGGCCAGTGATGGCTGATCAGTGCTCGTACGGCTGCCTCTGAAAAGGCGGGACCTTCCTCCGTCTCTTCGTCGGCCAGCTGCCCGGCCTCCACCAGAAACTGATTGGCCAGCAGCAGGATGTCTTCCTGACGCGACGCCAGTGTGGGAGCCGACAGTTCGATGCCCTTCAGCCGAAAATACAGATCCTGGCGAAACTTCGATTCTTCAATGGCCTGTTCCAGGTCCTGATGAGTCGCACTGATGACGCGCACGTCGACTTCAACACAGTCTTCGGTACCGACCGGCTGGACCAGTCCTTCCTGCAGCACTCGCAGCAGACGAGTCTGCACGGATGCCGGCATGTCACCGATTTCATCGAGGAACAGTGTTCCGCCGCTGGCCTGACGGAAGACCCCTTCACGCGGGCGGTCGGCTCCGGTGAACGCTCCTTTCACATGTCCAAACAGTTCACTTTCAATCAGCGATTCGGCGATGGCCGCCGTGTTGACCGCCACGAATGGACCGTCAGCTCGGTTGCTGCGATCGTGCAGTTCACGGGCGATGAGCTCCTTGCCGGTGCCGCTTTCACCACGAATCAGAACCGGCAGTGCCGTGGCAGCCGCCCGGGAAATCTGGCGAAACAGTCGGCGCATCGGTGCGCTGGCCCCCAGCATGCGGCCGAACCGGGGACTGCCTTCCGAATCGCTCTCCAGGCTGCTCACCTTCTGACGCAGCAGGCATCGTTCTTCTGATCGAGTGGCAATCGACCGTACGTGGTCAACATCGTAGGGCTTGGTGATGAAATCCGTGGCCCCGCAGCGAATACAGGTGACGGCTCGATCCACGGTTTCGTGAGCCGTCACCACGATGATCTCAGGCAGCACTTCCGTTCCCTTTTGCTGCAGAGTCCTGAGCATGGTGATCCCGTCCATCACGGGCATGTTGAGGTCCAGGAAGACCAGGTCGGGCGCGTGCGTACTGATCAGCTCCAGGGCCTGCTGACCGTCTTCGGCTTCCAGCAGCGTACGTCCGTCGCCGCGGAGGGCCTTGAGCATTCCGTAGCGGGCGGCGGATTCGTCGTCGACGACAAGGATCTTCATGATGAGGATTCACTTTGCTGATGGACCGGGAGCTTCACAGTGAACACGGTGCCACCGCCGGCGGGGCTCTCGCAGGAGATGTCTCCAGCAAGTTCCCGAATGCGCTCACTGACGAGGTACAGTCCCAGGCCCGTTCCTTCGGCTTTACCGGTTACGAATGGTTCAAAGATGGTGTCTCGCAGGTCGTCCGGAATCCCGGAGCCGTTGTCGGTGACCTGTACGATGATCGTGTGATCACAGACTTCACTGCTGATGCTGACCTGAGGAGATTTGTCGGCATGCATGGCCGCTTCAATGGCGTTGCGGATGAGATTAAAAAAGATTTCGCTGAGCGTGGCTTCGCTGCCGGACGCCATGGCGTCATGAGACTGATAACGCGTCACGATGCTCACGCCATGCTGCTGTGCCAGATGCCGCAGGATTCTCAGCAGCCGCTCAATTACCTGTTCCACACAGGCTTCGTGTGACGATGAATCGGCCGGACGGGAGTACTGCAGCAGACCGCTGGTTGTTTCGGTCAGTCGATCGATTTCTGAGACGATGAGTTCCAGATCGCGGCGGTGACTGGTGGATTCGTTCAGATCTTCGATGAGCAGCGTCGAAATCGTTTTGATGGATGACAGCGGATTCCGCAGTTCGTGGGCCAGAGATCCGGACATCAGCCCGAGGATCGACAGCTTCTCCTGCTGCATGGCCCGGCGTTCGGCCAGCTGTCTTGCTTCTTCCAGTTCGCGGTTGTGGACGGTGACAGCAAACTGATCCAGCAGCAGCGACAGACTGTTGAGCTGTTCGTTCGAAAAGTGATCTCCCCCTTCAGGAGTTCCCAGCAGCAAACGACCATTGATACTGCGGAACGTAAATCGAAAGACCGCGGATGCCTGCAGGCTTCGCAGCTGTTCTGTCACGTGTGGGTCACGACTGCGCGTCTGGTCGACCCACAGAGCATCGTCGGGAATCGGCACGGCGTAGACTGCCTGGGAGTCAACAGATTCTGCCGCCGGCCCAACGGCACCGGCAACGTCCGGTCCGGCCGACGCGCTGGTATGATTCTCAGCCGACAGTGCCAGCCACACGTAGTCGATATGCAGCATCTCGCGGATCGCTTCGGCGAACCAGTTCATCGTCTGGTCGACTCGGTCATTCGAACGCATCAGCAGCTGCGACGACAGCTGTCGTGTGGCATCGCGCACCTGAGTGATGTTCGTTCCCAGCAGGTACTGCAGCGATTCTTTGACTCGATTGCGCAGCGGTCGCCACGCCAGAATCAGGGCCAGCAGCGCGACAAACTCAATCAGGACAAAGTCCAGATTCAGGTCTTCACTCAGTCGTTCCGTGAATGGTGTCACCACCACCCGGTGCAGCAGCAGCATGGCCACCAGAAGCGCTCCGTAGCCCAGCGTGCGTTCCAGCATCAGCGGGATCAGCCGTCGGTGAAAAATACTCCAGGCAAAGCAGATGGCCGGGACACTCAGTGACATTGTGACCACTGTCCGCAGCAGCGGGGCTGATGTGGAATCCTCAGACATCACGGCATAGGCGATGGCCAGGCCTGTGATAACGACCAGGCAGCCGGCAATCTGCAGCAGAATGTTGCGGCTGCCGGGCAGTTCCAGTCTGTTGCGCAGACTCCAGAAAATCCCGGCCGAACTCAGATTGGCGACCGTCAGCCACGCCAGATAAGGGACGTGAAACCCGGACGTGCTCAACAAAAAGTCGCGGGACGCTGACTCAAAGATACTGCCGGAAACAGGGATCAGCAGCAGCACCGGCGCATACAGGATCGCATACCGCAGACTCCAGGGAGGACGGGCGACCGGTCCGAATGTCTGCAGTCGCAATGCCCCGTGCAGAAACCCGCTGGGCAGGAGCAGCAAACCGCCCGCCATGGCAGACATGGTGATGCAGTCGGCCCACGTGGCCAGCTGGCCGACGGAATCGCGCAGCAGTACATGGACAAAGCTGCCCGAGTGCCACGTCCAGGTGGCAATCAGCAGCCCGGCAATCCAGATGGGGATCAGCGGTCGATTGACACGCTCCAGCATGGCCAGCAGCAGGACCGTATCGATCACGGCAGCCAGTCCGAGGAGTATCAGTTCAATCTTGTCAGCCATGCTTGTCAGGATAGTGCACTCGCAGGTCAATCGGTACCAGAACCGGCATCGTCGGCTGGCGGCCGAGTTACCGAGTGTTTCCGGCTGGTGAGGATCTGTACATCGTCATCAAAGATGTCTTCACGGCGGCCCTGAGGATCATGGAGCTGCGCACTTTGGCAGGTGCCGCCTGCGGTTCGCTGAATGGTCAGAAAAGCGGGGCCGTCGTCCGTCTGCAGACGAATTGTCACAGGTTCCAGGGCGGATGTTCCGGATTCGATCAGTTCAATCACCCGGCAGACTCTCTGACGAACCAGGATCCGCTGACCGGGACGCAGCGACAGCAGGCGACCGTCCGCCGGCGCGATGCGAATCCGGTCAGCAGACAGCCAGCTGCGGATCAGTCGAATGAGGGCCTGGATCATGGTGGTTCTTCAGTGCCCCGTTTTTGGCGGGTGCCACTGCTGGCTTGTCCAGCAGTGCTGTTCGAAAGCAGTTACGCACTGCCGGGCAAGCCAGTCCGCCGCGGCTGAGCTCCCGAAGAATGTTTTCACAGAGCAAGACCGCTGCTAGTCGCCGGCCAGCTGAGCTTTCAGCTGTTCGAGTTCTGCGGTCACGCGTTCTTCGCGTTCAGCCTGTTCGAATTTGCGAGCCATTTCTTCGGCATCCGGATCGCGACCATCCATGCGGTCCCACGCCTCGGACAGCGCTTCTTCCCGTTCGACTCGATTCTCCAGGCGACTGAACTGAGCGAACGCGGATTTGCTGCCGGCTCGATCCATCGCTGCATTGACATTCTGAGTTGTCGTGGCGCGCGTCATGCGGGCCATCAGCAGCGTCTTCTTTTGCACGGCCTGACGAATCTTATCCTCCAGATCACGCACGGAATCCTGCAGCCGCCGCACGTCTTCGGACTGTTTGGCGTGTTCCGTTTCATACTGCTCGGCTCTTTGCTGAGCCGCCTGTTTCTGTTCGAGTGATGATCGAGCTGTTGTCTCGTCGCCGCGCTGCATGGCGGCTTCAGCTCGCTGTTGCCAGGTGTCCACAGCCTCCCGTTCGCGCTGGCACCGTTTTCGCATCTGGATTTCATCTGCGATCGCTTCGGCCACGCACGCACGCACCCGGTCCAGTTCCTCCTGCATGTCAATGATCAGCTGGTGCAGCATGCGTTCCGGGTCTTCCACCTTTTCACGCAACGTTGTAATGCTGGATCGCATGATCAGACTGAATTGATTGAGCCATTTCATTGGAAACACCTTTCAGAGGTTGGAGAACATTCGGGAAGACGGGCAGTTCCCTGCCCTCATCGCCACGTGGCCAGTTCGGCTGACAGATAGCGGATGCGCTGCAGCACCCGGTCACGGTGGTTTTCACAGAATGCAGCCAGTGCAATCACGGCTGCTCCAAAGACAACGCCGCAGATCCACAGCGTGCCCGGATGGTCGATGCTGGATCGCACCACCATGGCCACCAGATCTGCGAGCAGAAACGCGGAGCCGGTGTACATCAGGGCGCGGACTCGCAGACCAATGGCCAGCAGAATCACGACCAAGCAGAACACCATCAGCGTCATCAGATGCAGCCAGCTTCCATCAAGAATCTCAAAGACGGGTGAAACCAGGATAGTGAGTGCACCCAGGTAGCGCAGCTGATTCTGAAACTGTCGTGGCAGCTGTTCTTTCAGCAGCTCTGCCAGAGCAATTACGGACAGACCGATCGGAACCAGATAGAACTGCACGTCCGTCAGATTCAGCGAATGCCATAGCAGCATCAGAGTGATGTTGAGAATACTGAGTGCTGCGATGGCGAATCGCCGCTGCCGAGTGATCAAAGCCAGATGAAAATACATGGCCGCGGCAGCAAACAGGCTGAGTGTCTGGATTCCGGACGTCAGCACTCCGTTGAGCAGAACGACTCGTCCGACTCCCATGATCGCCACCACGGCCGGCAGACAGCGGCCGGTGAGGCGCAGTGGTGGCGCTGCGAACGTCAGGGACGAATGGCGGCGGCACAGCCGAGCGCCCACCAGACATACGATGGCGGCCGCCAGCAGAATCAGCTGACTGATTCCGCTGCCCGTTTCAATGAACCCGTGACGAAACAGCCAGAGTCCCGACAGCACAGGAAGCGAAAGGCTGAACCAGACGTAGTCGGAGTCCTGACGTCGAACCGCCAGGCAGAATGCAGAGACGGTTCCCACGACGGTCCCGCCGACCATGAGTGCCGCCTGACCGAAACTGTAGTCTCCGGCTCCAAAAGCCAGACAGCCGATCAGCACCAGCCCGATTCGCAGCATGAGGCTCCAGAAACGCAGAACGGCGGAGGAGAACAGTGTGGTGTCGCGGTTCATCACAGCTTCGCTGACAGCCGTCACCAGCAGCAGCAGCAGGCAACGCCGGCAGTAGTCCGGAGTTGCTGGTATACAGCGCCGGCAGTCCACGAAAGCCCCCGATGTACGCGCTGTACAGCAGCACCTGGATATTCACGATGATGGCCAGCCAGCTGCGCTGCCACGGGATGAGTTGCCGGCCGCTGGTCAGCACCAGTGATGCTACGGCGATGCCGGCAGCCACGCGCAGCCAGGGAGAAAGTGAGAAGCACGAGATGCCCAGAACGACCAGCAGCCAGTGCGTGAAGACTCCGCGGATCTGTTTGGCAATATCGCTGTGTCCGCGCGCGGAGACGGAGTATCCAGCTCCTGCAACGGCCGCCCAGATCACGAAGACCCATGCCATGTTGATGTCATGAGGGCCGAACCAGGCACGGTGAATGATGCCGGAGAACAGTAGTGGCAACAGGCCGGCTCCGCTGCTCGCGGTCAGACCCTGGCGGCTGATGATTCCTCCTGAGAACAGCCCGAGAATCACAAGGGCAGCGATGGGCATCCCGATGAACGTGGAATCTCCGAAGTGCTGCAGCATCAGTCCCGGTGTGCAGTAGAAGAATGCCAGGACACTCAGGGCTCCGAGACTGAGATCGCACAGAGGCAGTACGAAGGCCAGAAGTCGACGGTTACCAGTCCCATCGCTGATCCCCGATGTCATCAGGCGCTGGTCGTAGCCGGACATCACCTGCAGGCGGAGCTGGCTGAGCGAACGCCCGTTCTTCAGCTGACCGGCAATAATCAGTGCCAGCAGTCCTGCGGCGGAGCTGACAGCTGCCACGATCGACCCGGCATTGAGGATCTCCTGCGGCCCCTGAGCCACGCTGACGGCGCAGCAGTACGCGGCAAACGCTGTCGTGGACCAGATGGCAAGGCCGTAGCGATAGACCGGATGGCGAATTGTGTAGACAGTCAGTGCGGACAACAGGATCGCCAGCTGTGAAAGCTGTTCAATGGTGAGGACCTGTCCCAGCTGACTGCCGGCGGTG